AAATATGAGTTCAAATTATTCATTTCGTCCAATAGTTTTCACTTTAAATATATTATTATGCATTACTATTTTGGCGTGAAAGTTACACTCTAGAATAATGACAGTTTGGTCTACAGAAGAAATTGCTACATAATCGCACAATGACGAAAACATTACTTCACTTTCACACCGTTTGGCGAACCAGATTTGATTACCTTAAAATAAACGAAAATGTAAGAAGGACAAGCTTCGTCATGATGAGTGTACGTCTTGATCGGTTGTTATTTCTTTTCCAGCCCTATTTATTAAGAGGGATCTAACAATATTACATAGTTTAATGAAATATTAAGTTTGTAACTGCACGACTTAATTCGCTTGTCGTAGTTCATTACAAGGTCAATAATGTGAACCGGTTTTTCTTCTCAAGGGTAGCTCTACTGTAGCAGAAATCTATCAAAAGAACACCCTTTAGTAACGATAAATCAACGAGAGATTGATCTTAGTAAATATTTATCAGCAGAAGATGAGAAGAAAAATAATGACATGGTATTTATGGACGTTAACAAAATAATAAAACACGCATAAATAACAATAAATTAGAGCACTTGGGAATGTCAACAAGTTAATGGAACATTCCAGAACGCTACAAGGTAAAATAGAGCTCTTGGAAATGTCAATAAGTTAAAAGAATATTCCAGAATAGTATAAGACAGAAATTTTGGGGATGTCAATAGGTTAAAGGAACATTGAAGAATGTTATAAGACAGAGAGCTTTTGGGGGATGTCAACAAGTTAGGGGAATATTCCAGAATGTTATAAGGTAAGACAGAGCTTTTGGGTATGTCAACAAGTTAGGGGAACATTCCAGAATGTTATGAGACAGAACTCTTGTGAATGTCAACAAACAAAACACTTCAGGGTTAAAATAAATATATTTAAAATATTTAAAGAACAAAATTATCGGAATAAAGATAGGTTTAGCAGGTCATTAAAATGTCAAAATGTATTCCGGGATGGAAATGATATTATTCGAATGCTTCGGAAAGCCACAAAAAATTAACGGGACACTTTAGGTTGATATCGTAAAATACATTCGTATTTTTTTTTTCTAATTCATGAAATATGAAATGTAGTGAGGGCGTTGTATTTTCGGTAAATGTTATGTTTGATTTGATTGTTTTATTTTTGTCTATCTACCAGAGTTTTCTTTAATTTTTGTAAATGTATTCTAATTTTCATTTCAGTTGTCAATCAAATGTAACATAGCTTTAAAAGCTTCCTTCCTCTGTGCGTACTAGTACAAAATTTAATGCAGTTGTGCTAGTTTCAAGTAAACACAAACGTAATTCAATTCTATGATTTATATTTCCCCGTTGTAACTTAACTTTATACATAAAGTATTCGTTTAATCTTAATTATAATCTCCTTGACTCAGAGACAAGTTTTTATGTAATTTTGATAATTTCTCTACAGTATTAATATACTGTTACGACATATCCCTCCTCCCCTCCCTCTTTTTCTCATTACGACTTTGATCTCTAAATGTTGATTTCTACTCAATATTTGTAATCTTGCGTTTCAGCCCCCCCCCCACCGTTTCATTTCCCATTGTTTCATTTTTTGGTAATTTCCGTAAAGAACTCACGTGATCTTACAACTTTAGTCCCCACCTTTTTTTGCCTATTTTTTTATTCAGTGGCGACTGTAATGGACTTTTAGTAGTTCCCAATGAAAAACCATTGATCGTACGCTTTGATCTTTCCCTCTTTGTGTCCTTGTTGTGATTTGTATGTTCATTTGGAATGCGTGTGGTTCTCGTTTCGATTTTCTCCCCGTTTCTATTCAAGCCATGGTCGTGTAAGCTTGAAGTTAGGAGCGTGAGTGGGCGTATATTGTAGTATTTGAAACTACTCCGTCGAAAAGCGAAGGTCTAGATATTCGTGTCAAAAATCAAAGTATGTCAAACATCAAGGGTACAGTAATCGGGGCATAAATGAAAGGTGTATTTATACAATGCAACGGAAAAATACACAACATGTAAAAGTCGTCGA